AGCAAACTTGCTCTCATCTCCTCTCCTCTCCTCTCCTCTCCCCTCCTCTCCCCTCCTCCTTTTTAGTCTAGTCTATTCTATTCTATTCTATTCTATTCTATTCTATTCTATTCTATTCTATTCTATTCTATTCTATTCTATTCTATTCTATTCTAAGCTTTTGTCATCCCTGGAGAGGTTCAACACCTGGAACATCAGGAATCAAAGCCTTTATGAATACTTCACCTTGTTAGAACATTTTTGTAACAAATCAGAGACCATAGATATTTGGCAAGAGAAGTCTTCTATACCTAACGCTCTAGATAGCTTAGAGGAACATTTCTGCTCCGCCAAGTATGTGTTAAATAATGTAACAGCGGATTTCCACAACCAGGATAAACCGTGAGCAAATCCCTAAGGATTAATGAGGAGGAATTTGCTTTAGCTGTTTCGCAGCGAGGATTGCTTCATTGCATCTGTAATTCTCAAATGCAAACAGAGTGGTATTGTTCTGGGTGTCCTACAGAGCCTGCCAAGCTAATTCACTCAACCTGAAATTTAATTGGGATCTTTTTTTGGATCTAATTGGAATCTTTCAGAACAGAGGTGGCAGTTCTTTAAGGACGTTTTCCATAGGGCCCAAGAGCTATTTATCTCTAGGTGTAAGAAATCAGGAAAGGAAGGCAAAAGACCGGTATGGCTGAGTCAAAACCTGCTGGTTGAACTAAGGGGCAAGAAGGAAACGTACAGGCAGGGGAAGCAGGGACCAGGATCCTGGGATGAGTACAGGGACGCTGCCCGGTTGTGTAGGGATGGGGTCAGGAGGGCCAAGGCGCGGCTGGAGCTGAACTTGGCAAGGGATGCAAAGAATAATATGAAGGGCTTCTACAGGTATGTCAGCCAGAAAAGGAAGGTCAAAGAAAGCGTACCGCCCTTGATGAGCAAGACTGACAGATTGGAGGCTGAGGTACTCAGTTACTACTTTGTTTCAGACTTCACAGGCACTCTTTCTTCCCACACCTCTCAAGGGAATGGCCTGCAAGACGGAGACTGGAGGAGCAACGTCCCTCCCACTGTAAGAGAAGATCAGGTTCAAGACCACCTGAGGAACCTGAACATACACATGTCTATGGGACCTGATGAGATGCATCCCAGAGTCCTGAGGCAATTGGCTGATGTAGTTGCCACGCCACTCTCCATGATACTTGAAATGTCCTGGCAGTCAGGTGAAGTTCCCAGAGACTGGAAAAAAAGAAACATTGCACCCATTTTTAAAAAGGGTAGAAAGGAGGACTCTGGGAACTACCAACCTGTCAGCCTCACCTCTGTGCCTGGGAAGATCATGGAACAGATCCTCGTAGAAGCTCTGCTAAGGCACATGGAGGACAGGGAGGTGATTCAAGACAGTCAGCATGGCTTCACCAAGGACAAGTCCTGCCTGACAAACCTAGTGGCCTTCTATGATGGAGTGACTACACCAATGGACAAGGGAAGAGCTACAGCTGTCATCTATCTGGACTTCTGCAAGGCCTTTGACACGGTCCCCCACAACAGACTTCTCTCTGCTGAGATATGGATTTGATGAGTGGACTGTTGGGTGGATGAGGAATTGGTTGGATGGTCGCATCCAGAGGGTAGTGGTCAATGGCTCAGTGTCCAGATGGAGATCAGTGACGAGCGATGTCCCTCAGGGGTCTGTTGTTTAATATCTTCACGAATGACATAGACAGTGGGATCAAGAGCACCCTCAGCAAGTTCGCAGATGACACCAAGCTGAGTGGTGTGGTTGACATGCCTGAGGGGCGGGATGCCATCCAGAGGGACATGGACAAGCTCGAGGAATGGGGCCTGTGAACCTCATGAGGTTCAACAAGGCCAAGTGCAGGATCCTGCACCTGGGTCAGGGAAACTCCCACTATCAATACAGATTGGTAGATGAAGGGATCAAGAGCAGCCTTTGAGGTACTGGTGGATGAAAAGCTGGGCATGAGCAGGCAACATGTGCTGGCAGCCCAGGAGGCCAATCGTAGCCTGGGCTGCATCGAAAGCAGCGTGACCAGAAGGTCAAGAGAGGAGATTCTGCCCCTCTACTCCACTCTGGTGAGACCCCAGCTGGAGGCCTGTGTCCAGCTCTGGAGCCCTTATCACAAGAAAGACATGGACGTGTTGGAGCAGGTCCAGAGGAGAGCCACAAAAAAATCAGAGGGCTGGAACACTTCTCCTATGAAGACAGGCTGGGAGAGTTTGGTTTCTTCTGCCTGGAGAAGAGAAGGCTCCAGGGAGACCTTATTGCAGCTGCCAGGACTTGAAGAGGGCCTACACCCCCTGGTCTAGTTGAAGATATCCTTGCTCATGGGAGGGGGGTTGGACTAGATGACCTTGAAAGGTCCCTTCCAACACAAGCCATTCTGTGATTTTATGATTCTATGATGATTTTGTAAAACTCTTCCTGTAAAGTTGTTTGTGGGTCTCCAGGTTGCCCATGGATCTGTCTCACCTGGCTTTAGACATCTCTGAAGTGCTCATCCAGCTCTACCAGTAACAGTGGAGTTTTTTGACTCAGAGGGGACACTGGATGAAGCAGTGCACCAGATCTGTCCAAAGTCACGCAAAAAACTGCCTCATTTTGTTCAACATCTCTTTGCTCAGGGTCCCCCATGTTACCTAATGTTGGGGTCTCCTGTCATTTCTCTGCAGGCTCAGAAATCCCCTCCTGGCCATCTCACAGGCTGCCATGAGCCTCCTTTGTTGTGAGCTGAAGTGCAGGTACTCCTCTGGTGTACATCTCTATCATTAATTAGATTATAATGTGTGTCAGTGACCTAGTCTAACCGGGTCACTAGCATGAAGCCAAACTCAACAGGAAATTAAGCCTGTGTTTTAGCGGGCAAGAACACGGACCTTAGAAAGAGCTTGCCTGGAAAAGTGGTGACTTTATGGTCCTTTGAATTCGCCAAAGCAAGACTGGGTAGCTTTCTAAAAGCTGGGATGTAGCCAAGTAAAAACAGTAGCTACCCAGAAGAAACTGGGTGGAAACAGAAGCTTTATGCCACCAAAAGTCAAACTGAAGTTTCACGCTGACTTATCCTGTACTCGGCATCTGTGATCTGGCCCACACAGTGTTTCTATATAAACAGAAACAGCCTGAATCTTACCTCCTTCACCTCCGGAGAAATCGGGATTACCTCCAGTGAAGCTGTATGCCATAGGGGAGGGTGGTCAAGTGTCCTCCAGTGCTCTGCTCCCACAGATCACAGCCCCACAGCAGCAGGAGCAGCCCTCCTCCTCAGGGTGATCTCAGACGTGAAACATTTAATCACGTCAGTCACGATCCTGGGTCCCGTGAATTCCCTGTGACCGGAGAGAGATAATTTTTTAAAAAGACGTAGTTTAATTTGAAATCCTAAAGATGCTCAGGGCATCACGTGGGGCCTTCAGGCTTTCGTAAAAAATAAATATTAACACCATTAATGAATAATTGCAACATGATCATTAACATCTGCACTAATGACTGCCAATGGATGACTGGGAACTGAGCATAGAGTTATTCCAAAAATAACATCCGTAGGTGGATCTTTCATTACTTGAGGGCATACTAGAACTTAAAAAAAATGGAATAGGAATTTCGCAGATCAAGTTATGCTAGGCAGCAACAGGATGTAAAACTTCCAGAAAAGTTTTGTGTTTTCCTTTTATTTAAAGATGTCAAAAAGGAATTGGAAATATGGACTCCGATTTGACCCAAACTCCATTCCAAATTTCCATGATGAATTTGCACAGTCCTTTGCACCTAAAATTTCTGATATTGGCATGGCCAAGGGCATGCATTTTCCAAAGCATGGATGGGATGAGGCAACAAGGGATGAGAAGTTCCATATTTGCCCTTCTGATGACCAGAGACCCCACAGAAAAATATCAGATGCCACCATTTCTGCACTCAAAAACAAAACATGGAGCCATGGAATTACACTTTCTGGAATTCTACTTAAAAAAATCATATCCAGCAGCGACTGACGTCCAGAAGGCCTCTGCATGCCTCTGGAATCCACTGCTCCTCAATCTTAATTATTATTTTTATGTTAATTAAGCACTCACTAGCTCTGAACAAGCCACCTAGCATCTCAATGTAACAGCGTTACTATATGCAAAATGAGCAGAAACATACCTTTTAAGCCGTTCACAAGCATCACACAAGAATTAACTTGACATTAAAAAATTGTAAAAAATTTACAGAACAAATTGATAATAACCCAAAATTGAAGGGTTGGTCAAAAACAATGAGACAAAGACTGAATAGATGAAGGCACATTCAACAAATAAGTATAGGCTTAGTGCGTAAATCACGAATTGCTGTGGGGTACCTCATTTCCGGCAGGACAATTTCGAGCTAAATAAAAGGCGTCCCCGTCCCTTTGCTCCTCACTCAACTGCACCACTCAGTTAGCACGGTAAGTGTTACCTACTAGCAGTGTTCCTGGACAGCAATGGTGCTCATTTGGTTTTGGTCAAGAAATGAATTGAAATGTGTCTTTGTATCTGGTCTTCGTAGGGTATTGGACCAGATGACCTTTAAAGGTCCCTTCCAACCCAAACTATTCTATGATTCTATGTTCTACAGCTCTCTGAAATCCAGGTTTTCCTAGCCTGTTGGTCTATTGCTTATTGCAGAAGACAGCTGGTAGAGAGAACCCAGTGGAAAATAAGCTTCTTGGGTTGGAAATTCAGGGAGTGATCTTCATGGTTGAGCACAGGAAAGTTAGTTCCCAGGATAGTTCAAAAGATGCACAAATACTGCTGGGGTAGTGACAGGTGGCTTGATTTCTGTAAGGACCTTTTTTTTGCAACACAAAACAAATAAATAGGAAGCAGTGTGTGATGTGGCTAGCACCCATGGGCCTAGACAGCGGCATTCGTATGCCAAAATAAAACACATCTATATACTTGGAAAGATGGGTTGTATCTGAAAGTGTGTTCTGTTTCAGATCCTCGCTCCTTCCAGCTTTGACTACACTACAAACAACATGTGCTCCAGCGGATGTTGCTCTACCGGATGCTGCTCCATCGTGAAGAGCAAAACCGTGTGCTGCAGCCAGCCGTGCCAGAAGACCATCTGCTGCGACCCATGCCAGAAGACCATCTGCTGCGACCCGTGCCAGAAGACCATCTGCTGCGACCCATGCCAGAAGACCATCTGCTGCGACCCATGCCAGAAGACCATCTGCTGCGACCCATGCCAGAAGACCATCTGCTGCGACCCATGCCAGAAGACCATCTGCTGCGACCCATGCCAGAAGACCATCTGCTGCGACCCATGCCAGAAGACCATCTGCTGCGACCCATGCCAGAAGACCATCTGCTGCGACCCATGCCAGAAGACCATCTGCTGCGACCCATGCCAGAAGACCATCTGCTGCGACCCATGCCAGAAGACCATCTGCTGCGACCCATGCCAGAAGACCATCTGCTGCGACCCATGCCAGAAGACCATCTGCTGCGACCCATGCCAGAAGACCATCTGCTGCGACCCATGCCAGAAGACCATCTGCTGCGACCCATGCCAGAAGACCATCTGCTGCGACCCATGCCAGAAGACCATCTCATGCCAGCAGTCCATCTGCTGTGACCCATGCCAGAGACCCTGCTGCGACCCATGCCAGCAGTCCTGCTGTGACCCGTGCCAGAAGCCCTGCTGCGACCCGTGCCAGCAGTCCTGCTGTGACCCGTGCCAGCAGTCCTGCTGCGATCCGTGCCAGCAGTCCTGCTGTGACCCATGCCAGAAGTCCTGCTGTGACCCGTGCCAGCAGTCCTGCTGCGACCCGTGCCAGCAGTCCTGCTGTGACCCATGCCAGAAGCCTTGCTGTGACCCATGCCAGCAGTCCTGTTGTGACCCGTGCCAGAAGCCCTGCTGTGACCCATGCCAGCAGTCCGTCTGCTGTACCAAGGTGTGCCAGAAGTCCTGCTGCTGTGGCCAGCGATGCATGCGACCCTGCTGCTGCTGCGGCTGCTGCCCCTGCTACTGCTCTGGATGTCTGTCTTGCTGCTCCTACGTGGTGAAGAAGAAGCCCGTTGTGGTGTGTTGCAGCCCCGTGCAATACTGCTCTCCCATGAGGAAGTATTGCATTCCCATCCAGCAGTGCTGCACCTCGATCAAGAAGAGTTGCTGAGCCAACTCCGGGTAGCAAAAGCAGCTCTGCCGGCTCACATCTCTGGTGTGCGACAAGAACAGACACAAGGAGATGAAAACTTGCTCATTCCCTTCTGATTCACATGATGATGGAGTAAATGCCTAGCAATCTTCTTCTTGTTTTCAAACTTCAGCTGTCGTCTTCTTTCTGTCCTTTACTGAATATCTGCAATGCACTTGAATATATCACCCATTGCATAAGGCAAAGAGCTATTAGATATCAGTGTGGCTGTTAATTCTCTTCTTGGTGTGTGGGACTTGGGATACCTTTGTGGTTCATGTGATCATTCCTCATTTTCTCTCTTGACTTGTAGACAATAAAACTTAGAATTAAGCAAAATGCAAAATATCTTGTCTTGTGGTTGTTCTTACATCGCTTTGCTCAGAATGTGTCCTCATTCTGGTCCCATTTTCTGTGCCTTTGTCCAGGCTCCTGCTGGCTACAAACCTTCTCCCATGGCACAGCAGAACATTTAGGAAACAAAGAGCTGCCCAGTCATGCTTCCCATTGGCATAAATTAGGTCATGCCTAAAGACAGCAAGCAGAGCAGTGTGATTCCTTCTTGCACCTACTGATCATCTGCCTCAGCTCAATTTTTACTATAAAACTAAACGATTAAGTTAAATAAAACTCAAAGGAGACAGACTGAATGAAGCATGCATAATTCCACCATCTGAAAACACAGCACTCCGTAAGATGTATAAGAACTCATCCCTGATACTGGAATAGGTATTTCAATAGGCAGTGAGAGGAATTCGCTACTCACTCAATAGCAGACACCATCTTCTTCCACTACCATCTTCAAAAATAAAATTTCAGAAAACACGCTAAATGGTTGAATTATTTTTATGCGAGGAGAGATTTTCATATGCGGCA